TTACTGTAATATTATAATTGCAATTGTTATTATCTTTATAATCACTGTAGAAGCTACCAGTTGATTCTGTCGGTCAGGCTTCAGTCAGGGGAAGATAGTGGGAAGAACCTGATGGGTACGAGAATATGCATGCGACTCACCTGAACTGCCCACTTCCTTTTGTCGAGCATACTCGCCAAACCAAAGGTCATAAAGCTGATCTTGAAAAGTTACCAAATCAAGCGAAACCAATCCTGAATATGAGGAGAGGTGAGGCGTAAAATTCTCGGCTCTAGGATATTTCTTTGAACACTTGAGTGAATGTGAACATTTCGCTATGACATGACAGAGACGCAAACATATGGCCTAAATTCACCGAATCTCCTATAGTTTTGACGCCTTTCAAAACGACTAGACGCATACAACAGAACGTTAAACCAATTTCAGTTATCAATAAAACAATTAGAACTAAGGAGTGTTACCCATCTCTGCGAATCAGCATTACATATCTTTCTACTAATTGTCATTCACATTTATAGATGAATGCAATAAAATGAATAAGCATGTATTCCAAATTTGTCCGACAGACAATATGGAAACCACCAGTTGATTTAATCGGTCAGGATTCAGTCAGGAGAAGATAGTGGGAAGAACCTGATGGGTACGAGAATATACATGCGACTCACCTGAACTGCCCACTTCCTTTTGTCGAGCATACTCGCCAAACCAAAGATCATAAAGCTGATCTTGAAAAGTTACCAAATCAAGCGAAACCAATCCTGAATATGAGGAGAGGTGAAGCGTAAAATTCTCGGCTCTTGGATATTTCTTTGAACACGTGAGTGAACGTGAACATTTCGCTATGACATGACAGAGACGCAAACATATGGCCTAAATTCACCGAATCTCCTATAGTTTTGACGCCTTGCAAGCAGTTTTCAAAACGATTAAACGCATACAACAGAACGTTAAACCAATTTCAGTTATCAATAAAGCAATTAAAAGTAAGGATTGCTTAAAGTGACTAGTGATCGGATTGAGTAGAAAACAGAACTTCGAATGGTTTACTATTTCTGTGAATTCTCACCAATCCCCTATCGAGCAAGGACTCAACTATTGACCCACCCGCTTTTCCTAGAAACAGCCAAGCATTTTGTATTACGTCCGTATAAAATATTGTTTTGATGAAGTAACGTGCTGCAGCCACTCGCTCCGGAGTCATTGGATCTGCTTCATTGACATTCGGTATTTTATAGAGTTCCTAAAAACATGAAGTTTTCCTCGATACAAATTCTCTGTTTCATGGCAATCAAAATGAAGTCACATGCAAAAATGTGTCACTTTCCAAAGGTGTCGGTTTCATGTCGCAAACGTTACCAAATGGTTGAAAAATATCTGAGTGCCTAGCATTGCTCAAAATCTTTGACATTTTAATGCCCGTGAATATATGTTGTGAATGCTTTTGTATTGTCTTGTATTGAAGACCAAATTTTGATAGCTAATTGATCAATGTTCTGTTTCCTTGAGTAGCACAATTCCCGTCACTCATCTCTTCCCGTTGCTGCTCGAGGTAATAAGAGCAAAATTTTGAGAACGAAAGTGAGGTGGTCGTTTAACATACAACATCCGAATCGAATGTTAGTTCTGAGTTCTCATCTCTCCAAATGAGGAAAACCACGCAAGCATGATAGCAGAATCAACAG